AGGCCGCTGCCCGATGCCTGCTGCCCCCGGCCCCGCTCGGGGAGGCCACTGCCCCAGCCCCACTCGGGGAGGCCCCTCACCGACCTCCAGCCCTGCCCTCCCGTTTCCACAGGCACAAGCGTGACTTCTTCACGGCTCTTGCTCTCCCTCTTTCCTGCTGACTCACGGCGTGGCCCTGGCCTCCCGCAGCCCCCATGACCAGAGTCTTCCTCTGCCGGGTACCGACTCACCTCAGATCCCCATCTGCACCCCTTTCTACTCAGCAGGTGGAAGTTGGGGTGTCCAGCCAGGTGGCATCACCCCCCCCCCCAGGACAGCCCAGCCCAGCCCTCCGCCAGCCCGGGGCCCACCTGGAAGAAGGTCATGGTGGAGCCGGCATGGATGGTGCCGTACTCGATGTTGGTCTGGTCTGCCAGGTCATCCGCTGACTCCACCGGCACCTCCATGCGCTGCACGGTGAGGAAGGCAGCCAGGTTGGCCGTGTAGGAGGAGATGATGATCAGGGTGAAGGCCCACCTGAGGGGCGGGAAGTGTGAGCCGCGAGCAGGAGCCTTGGCCTCCACCCGGGCCTGTGACCCTGTCCCCCCCCCGTGGCTCCTCCTGACCCAGTGGCTCTGGCTTTCAGAGGCTCAATGGCTGCTGGTTAGGGCAGCGGCCACAAGTGTGGGTTCTGGAGCTAGACTCTCTGGGTCTAAGTGCTGCTTCCAGAAACTCCCAACTCCGGGACAACAGGTAGCAAGGTCTGGAAGCACGCTCCCAAGGTAAGCAGCTAAGAAATCTGGACAGAGCAGAGAACATCTTTACCGATACAGAGGCTGGACTGCGGTCTCAAGCATGCTAGGCAGGGGCTCCGCCACTGAGCCACCCCCCAGCCCCTCACTGGGGGATTCTAGGCAGGCGCTCCGCCACTGAGCCACCCCCCAGCCCCTCACTGGGGGATTCTAGGCAGGGGCTCTACCACTGAGCCCCACTCCAGCCCCTCACTGGGGGATTCTAGGCAGGGGCTCTATCACTGAGCCACACCCTCACTGGGGGCTCCAGGCAGGGGCTCTCCACTGAGCCAGCCCCTCCCTGGGGGGTTCCAGGCAGCTGTCCTTGCAGACGGGCTGGCTCTACTCCAGCCATTTCATATATTTTAGAAACATATGTCTAACTTTCTCACTCCCCGGCCATCGTGGTGGCTGTTCTTGTTTGGGGATTGTCTCGCACCTAGGGCAGGAAGATGGAAACGTCTCTGGAGTACAGCAACTCTAGGCTCCAACTTGTTATAAAGAGTGGGAAGCATGTTCTGGGATACAAACAGCTGAAGACGAGCCGAGAAGGCAAAGTGAAATTGGTTTTCCTTGCCAGCAATTGCCCAGCTCTGAGGAGATCTGAAATAGGATACTATGCCATGTTGGCTAACTGGGGTCCATCACTACGGTGGCAGAAATAGTGAACTGGGCACAGCGTGCAGAAAATGCTACAAACCATGCACACTGGCTGTCACTGGCCCAGGGGATTCTGATATTATTAAAGGAGTGCCGGAAAAGATCGGTGAAAAGTAAACCAGGAACGTTTTCCTGCAATAAAACTTTGCCAGAGCTCCTTAAAAAAAAATGTATATATATACACAGATACATACACGTGTATATATCCCTACATATATGTATGTACACATGCATGTACGCATGTGTGTGCACGCACACGTGTATATATAAATGCTGGGCACAGTGGTGCACACCTGTAATCCCAGCCCTGGGTAGGCAGAGGCTGGCAGAACTCTGTGAGACCAGGATGGCTAAAGCTACACAGAGAAACCCTGTCTTAAAAAAACAAAACCAAAAAAGAGAGAGAAAGGCAAGTCCAGGATAGCCACGGGCTCTGTTACATAGAAAAACCCTGTCACAAAAAAAAAAAAAAAAAAAAAAGCAACAAAACAAACAAAAATATGCAAGTAGATAGGTTTGTTTTTTCAAGACGGGGTGTCTTGCTGGGCCCTGGCTGTTCTGGACTTGTATAGACCAGGCTGGCCTTGAACTGAGGGAGGCTCCTCCTGCCTGTGCCTCTGAGAGCTGGAGTTAAAGTCACATGCTGCTTCTGTCTGTCTGTGTTTAAGTACATGAGTGTTGGGTATCACGCATGTGAGTGGAGCATGTGTGGCAGCGCCCACAGAGGCCAGGGAGGGAGACAGACCCCCACAGCTGGAGTTACAGTGCTCAGGAGCCACCCAAAGTGCGTGCCAGGAGCTGAACTCCAGACCCCTGCGAGTAGCGAGGGCTCTTAACCACTGAGCCACCCCTCATGCTGTTGTCCAAGCTCGCTTTCCATGGTAGGGTTGAATTTGACGTCCCCCTGCCTCAGGTCTCCCAAGCCGCTGGGGTGTCAGGCTAGCAGGGCCAGTGTCCAGAGGAAAACATTTTAAGATGGAAGCCAAGAGGCGCTGTGGGGCCGTGACACAGTAAGCCCGATTCTCATCCTGCCTGTGTGGCTGTGTGCAATCCGCAGACCACAAGGTACAGGGCAGGAGCGAGCAAGGCGACCGGGAACCTGCAAACTGAGGGGACGGAGTCTCGGCTTTGACGGGCGAAGATGACTGGAATTTGAGGGACAACGCTCAGGAAGAAAGAGACACCCAAGAAGGGGGGTTCTGGGAGTGGGGTTCACTTGAGCCCTTCGCTGAGTGTCACTTTGTGTGTGGAGGTGGTGACTCTCTCAGGCAGAGAACAGCCCCCAGGGTTCACTCAGGGCTGGGAGTCTTGAGTGTTCCCTCCACGCAGAGGCAGTCAGCAGTAAGCTGGGAGGAGGCTGGGAGACGCTCAGCAGTTCAGAGCACTGGATGCTCCTGGAGGACCCGGGCTGGATTCCCTGTGCCTGCACGGTGGCTCACGACCACCTGTAACTCAAGTCCAGAGGGGCTGACACCCTCTCCCGCCGTCTCTGGGCACCGCACACACATGGCACATGGACACACAGGCAGGCAAAAGAGCCATCTACATAAAGCAATCAATTAAAGTTTAACACATGTGCGCGCACGCACACACACACACACACACGCACGCATGCACGCATGCACGCACGCACGCACAGTCGTGTAGACTGTAATAAAATGATGGGCAAGCAACATACCATTAGTTGTTCTCTGACTTGGATGTGTGCTCTGTGGCATGCACCCTGCCCCACGAATAGAGGCAAGTTTTAGAAGTTATAAAGCAAAAAATGATTCCACAGTGGAATGTTTGCCTAGAGTCTCCCAGTGAGGGGTGGGGTGTGCTCAGTGGTAGAGCCCCTGCCTAGAGTCCCCCAGTGAGGGGCTGGG